CTTTAAAAAAAATGTCTTGAATCAGACTCGTAAGATGCCAGTATGGAAGACTGTAAGTAAATGCAGGTTTAACACCCAGAGAGTATTTATTATGTTTGATGTTGCTGTGTAGGTAGCTACACAAAGAATAAAACTCACCAAATGTTTATATTAGACATGCACAATGTATATATGTATTAACTAGCACTTCAGAATGTAACTCAAGTTACTCAATGCAAATCAAACCCACAAGGCAAAGACTTGCCTCCCTTTCTGGTTCCCACTAAAGAAAATGTAGCAGCTCTGCACAGAGCTTCAGCTTTACCTGAAGCCCTAGTTCCTGTGTATGAGTTTCACCTCACCTAACTTTGGCTTCCTGGAAGTTACTTACCCACTCCATTCTAGACAATCAGACTCCTCAGGGCAAGTGCCTATACATAGACATCCAGTGACATTTCAGATTGATTATCCAAGAAATGCCCATTGGATGAACATGGGTGAGACCCAAGAGCTGCTCCACTGGTTATAGGTGGAGCACTGTTGAACAAAATATCCAATCTTCAGATGGCTAAAATTAAGTAACATGAAACCCGTGCTTGATTCTGTCAACTTTATTCACTATGTACCTTCAAGAAAAAATGAAAGGGAACATTTTGATAGCTAGATGCTGTTCAGCATCAAATAAGACAGCATTATTTAAACACAGAATTTAAGCAGTCATAATTTTCCTGTATTGTAAAGGACATTTGCATCATTAAGCAAACAAGTATGTCAAATGAAAATTGAGTCTGAAAAATCAACATCCAGGCAAAGTGAAGTGATCATATCTTATTTGGGATGGCTCTTTTACTTTTCTTGCTATTCTCTCACCTTCAAAGCGACAAGAAACAGAAATCATATTATGGCTATGCAGTATTTAGTCTTCTGCAACCGTTATTATTTTTACAGTACAAATTATTATTTTAACACTGACCTGGAGGTGGTGGTGCACTTTCCGTTTCAGTCTCTGAAAAATAAGGAAAGAAGACAGATATTGAGCTTCAAGTAAAAGCAAATATTTTTCACGTATTTGGTATATACTTGTTAAATTTAGCCACAGTTTGGGTTTACTTAATATTTTAATGAAGCTCTCAAATATTTTTTTGCTTTCATACGTTATACATGGCATCTTCAGAGTGACATTGTCAGACACATGTTCTGTGAAGAGAGGGTACTGAACTTTTTCTGTCTGGAGAGATATAATTCTCATAGAATCATAGAATCATTTAGGTTGGAAAAGACCTTTAAGGTCATCGAGTCCAGCTGCTAACCTAGCAGTGCCAAATCCACCACTAAACCATGTCAGTAACTGCCACATATACACGTCTTTTAAATATGTCCAGGGATGGTGACTCCACCAGTTCCCTGGGCAGCCTGTTCCAATGCTCGACAACCCTTTTGGTGAAGAAATTTTTCCTGATATCCAATGTAAGCCTTCCCTGGTGCAGCTTCAGGCCATTACCTCCTGTCCTATCACTTGTTACTTGGGAGAAGAAACTGACAGATGCCTTGCTACAGCCTCCTTTCAAGTGGTTCTAGAGAGCATCTAGAGGTCATCTACCTGCATTCAGTACATTTTAGGACATTTTGGCAATTTCAGTTCAGAACAGTTCTGGAGTATCATGGAATGCAAGCTGAATTTCAGGTTTGGGTTTGGCATGTTTAAGGCAGTTTGTCTTGATCCTATGCTTAAATGTATCACATCAATATGCTCTTGTCACATGACAGTCTATATTTAAGTAAATTTTCCATCAACTGGAATAATATCTGATATGACTTTAATCATGAAGTGTAATGGATCCATTAGCTGAGGACGATCATGCACAGAGAATCCAGAGACCTTTATCTCACTTTCACTACACCGTTAGATCTAGAGTTCAGTATTCAGTGCAAGTAGAAAGTAAAAGAATCAGCTTAACTGCTCTGTGTAGGTCTTACAGTATGTTTGTTTTTTCTTTCAGTGATGATTTTTAATCTAAACTTCCTTTTCAAATGTGTGAAACAGAAACCAGGCCTTTTATCCTATTTATGTTATCTTCTTGGGATGACATGTTCTCCAATCTAAAAATATTAAGGAGAAATAAACTAGAAAAATTTAGTCTTAATATATTAAAGGAAGTTTATTTTAAATCTGTAAAACCTTTAGGACTCTAGACTTGTAGAAAATGGTAATACTTATTTGAGATGGTACGTTGATTTACAGTTTAACTACTTGTAACGATCAAAGATTTAAAAGGTTGAAAACTTTGACTGTAACAGTAGATGTCTTTCACTAACCTTTGTCATGTTATGGTTATTAACCTTTAGGACTCCACCTCAGGTCATAATCAGGAAATAAAGTTTCAATTGCTGTCACATAGAAATGCTGGTAAGTTTATTCCTTTGCACTCAGTTCCAAATAAAACTAAAACATACTTCTCATTCTTAATAAATCCATTCAGTGTTTAAAAAGGAGGAATAGTTTTAGTACAAATACAATTTTCAACTGACTCTGTGAATTTGATATGGTTTAGGAACTTCCAGCCACATATGTGTATGCTATAACAAATCCTTGTCGAAGGTCCAAAGAGAATTCCTTACTACAGGGAAAGATGTAGCACCTCGGTGCTGTAGGTTCTGGTCATAACACCCATAATATGGCATAAAGTGGAGAATGTATATTAAAGTCTGACACAGAGTCTGATAATAATAAAATGGCTTTACCTAGTTTCATAGAAATTTATTTTTTTCTGGTCTAATAACTAACATACTAACTTTAGCTTTGTGACCTAGAAAAATATAAATTTTTTTCATATGAAAGTTTCACTACAAAAATTACATTTTAGAACATATCCCCTTTACTACCACGACATTTCCCACTGCTTCCACTGAGAATAAAATAACATCACTGTGGCTTGGAAGTCTATTTCTTGCACGGAAAAGTAATAGCAGAAATTTATTGACTTTATAATTGTCTTTCTGAAATTTAATAGTTAGAAATGGGGAGTATTTTTACAAACACTGAATTAGAAAATTCCCCCTGGCTCACAAGCAAGAGCCACAAATTCATAAATGAAAGCTTAGCAAACTAAGCACTTTCCAGATTCATATGAAAGTCTTATGAGCTTTTTTAGGGACTTGCCTGGAGTTTTTCTTTCATTTTGAACGTTATTTCATGGCTTCACCACACAGTAGTGTTGGGCAGAAATCACACACCTTTCCAGTCCTGTTTTACCTAGCAGTAGGCACAGATCTTAGCCAAAATGCATAGCGCAGATCAGACCTGAAACACTATTTTTATAGTCTGAACTTAATTTCATTCTTGCAGACATACAGTGAGCAATTCAAAACCTGAGCAGTGCAATGGGCAACCTACTCTAGTTGGCCCTTTTCCTAGCAGGGAGGATGGACTAGACAATCTCCAGAGGTCCTTTCCAACCTTAGCTATTCTGCAATTAAGTGATGAGATGATGACTGAAGCCAGACCAAGAAATCATTAGTTTCTTTCCTAAACCATAATTCATGGCTGTTCGGTCTATTGCTAGGAAAACTGAGGCAAGAACTGAGCTCAGGGGAGAGACCTGAAGTATGGTGTGGAAGGAAGAAAGGAAGGGGGAGAGTTCCTGGCACTGGGCACTGGGAGTGGAGATGGGAGATACTTCAACATAATCTTTTGGCCATGCGCGACTCCTTTCATGGCCATGCTTGGCTTACAGTTCCATTCCTGAGGACAGCCAGGAAAAAAAAACATTAATAGCACCGAGTAGTTTCCACCTCCCCAAAGAATGATAGCCCTCTCTGGCTGACCTCTGCAACAGGCTTGTCAGCCAGGAAAGGGCTCTGTGCACTCAACCAGCAGCTTATGGTTGTGCTCCTTCCCTAGGAGGCATGCTCACTGGAGTCCCCAGATGCCATTCCCAATGGTCGTGTTGCCTAATATGGTGCTCTGTCAAAGCATTGTCGGGGGGGCTAGTGGTGGAGAAAGTGTTGCCTCCCGCATGCACTCCTCAGCCCCTTGGGAAAAGGAGAGTCATTTCCTGGGTTGTAACGATGCTTCAGGGGAAAGAAGCTGCTGAAGGTCCAGTTGCTGCTGGATTGATATCATAATGTCAACTGGGCCTTCTACTAAGCAACTGAAGTTAACTTCTGCCTCACAGTTTCTAAGACAGAAGGTAATGGTCTCTTCTTTGCAGTTCTTTATTTGCGAAGCCAAGAATGTTGCATTTCAGTGGGTTGTGTCATGCTAAACACAGACCTGGGTTATTCATTGGTTGTGAAACTTGTAAAGCAGCTGACTATATATAATTCTACATCAAGAAAAGGAATTAACTTAGTATTCCTTTCCACATGGCTACTCAGAAAGGATAGTATATTAAGAAGTGTAGTTAGTGAAAGCACACAAATAAAGTGAAAGCACAACTGTCCCTTAGATAACATCTCCAGAAATGCTTTCATGCCTCAGCCATATCATGAGATGCATTCAGGATCCAGCCTGACACAGGATATGAGGACTTAGAGCCAAGACACTTTTATCTGTGATTTATATACATGCACACATACACTCCTGAAAATCAACAGGAGATGCAACTTGACCCATTACCAACAATTTTCCATCACTGTTCCATGTTTACTATGTCCAGGTTTTCAGATAAAATAAGACTTAAAATCTCTTGCTATGCATATAGGTAACTAAGCTTTAGAAAGTTTCATGAGATAACCCATGTGCTAAAGTTATGGAAATGCTTAAGAATGTTAAATTGGGACTATCGTTATTTAAAATTTTAATTCCATTTTAGGTTTGGCTGCACTGACATACAACCTGCAATAATCACAAGAAGCTTTGGCAGAGAGCTAGCAGCGTGCTTATGTGTGGTGGCCAGTTTTCAAGGGCTCTAAATTCCCTCTTCCACTAGCTTCTGTGACAGCAACAAGCATAGAAATTCCCTGACATCATATATATTTCTTTTCACATTGGAGTGTAAACATAATGAGGCATGCTGACAGTTCTAAAACTGTCTCCAGATCCTACTCTGGGAGCAAAGTATTCTGGAGACTAGCAGTTCAGACCATTTGAGAGCTACAGGTTATCAGCAAGCATACTGGGAAAGAGATCTGGCTGGATAACCCTTCTCACCTTGTGATTCTGTACTCATGACCAGGTTTGTTTTGGATAGGCCTAGGAACTCTGAATGATATTGGAAATTGAGTAGTGGGGTTTTTTGGTTTGGTTTGTTAGGTCTTTTTTTTCTCAGGTGAAGGAAATGACCGGGATCATTAAATCAGGGGTTGCACATAGTCTAAAGAGAGCATTTCACCATCACCAGGCTGGAATATTCACAAAAGGGAAGAGGAGAGTCTCCTGCACTAATTTCTCCTGTGGTTAGTTATAGATTGGTTACAACCCAGCAAAGACTCTGGTCTGAAGAGCCAAGGGTTTCAGGATCTCACCCAGTCTAACCAGAGGGCTTACTCCCATTTACCTGAAAGGGAAACCACGACTATAGCTGCTTCATCATGGATACAGGTATGATATCTGTTCTGTGTAAGAGCAGCATATTAAAGTGACTTTCATATGTCAAAGAGCACGAGGATGGTCACTTAATGCTTTTTGTCACAAAGATCTGTCAACGTCAAACTTGTGTCAAATTTAAGTAGGTGGATTAAGCTTGCGGACATAGCCTCAAGGGATCAGACATATAACTATTACATAGGCATTCCTAAAGTGCTGACTCTGCTACTCAGACAAAAATAGACAAAATGCTGGTTTGGGGAAAGAACATGGCTCACCCCAGCCCTTGTACAGTTGTTGGTGTAAGGATTGTCCCGTCTGTGTGGCCCCTATAAAACATGAGAACTGCCATTGTGACACCTGGCTTTCTCCTGGGGTAGGTGTTCCATTTAAATAGGTGGGCAGGGAAGGACCAAGGGTATGGAACAGTTACTTGACAAACTTCATGTCCAGATTACCAGCAGATAAAAGCAGTAAAG